TTAAACCTAATTATGGGTCCGAAGTGAAGTTGGGCCACCGAGGTATGAAAAGGAGAAGAACATGAAGTTGTAGTATTGTTGTGCCACATACTCTGACACAAATCACATTCGCCATAGCATATAGACACAACAGATGCAAGAAGGGGGCTTCTCTGTGCCATGCACCGCGGTGCATTGTGCGTTTGCTACAGCATATAGCCCCTTTTTTGTAGAAATAAATCGCAATATTGAGATAGAAAATAAAGAGAAAGGAGAGAACAAGAACCAGCAATCAAGCTCGGCTAGGGTTCATATTGGAGAGTATTTGGGACGTTTTAGAACTTATAAACACCCACGATAAGTATCATGCCTCTTAATCTCTCATTTTTTCCACATTATGAGATTTTTGGTTAAGATTTGATAGTAGAAGATAATTTTCAATTTATATAGGTTATGAGTATAAGTTCATTAACTCAAATAGAGTTAATGGGAATAGATTTGAGTATCTAAAGATAGAGCTAATAAATTTTGGTATTTTTGGTTATCGGGCTTCATAAATATCCATGGTATTTATGAGAGTTGTTGGAAGAGTGTGATTAAGTAAATTGTAACATTTTGAATTTTAATCCCCTGATTAACTAACCTTAATTAGGATAATTAAGTAAATTGTAGTGGTGTGTGGCTAGGCAGACCCAATGATCATATTTGATTGTATTTTAGCCCTAGTTATGGGTCCAGAGTGAAGCCGAGCCATTGGGATATCGAAAGGAGAAGAACATGAAGATATAGTGTTGTTGAGCCACATGCCGTGATGCGAATCATGGCAGCTGCAGTGTACATACACAACTAATGTGAGAAAGAGGCCTCTCCGTGTCATGCGCTGCAGCATATTATGTGTTCGTCATGGTGTGTAGCTCCTTTTTTATAGAAATAAGCCGTGATACTAAAACAGAAAATATAGAAAAAGAAGGAAAGAATGAGAACTAGCAACCAAGCTTTGCTAAGGTTCATATTGGGAGAGTATTTGGGATATTTTGGAAGCTATAAACACCCAAGGTGAGCATTATGCCTCTTAATATCCTATTTTCTTTCACACTATGTGGTTTTTTTGTTAGGGTTTAATAGTGAAAGATAATTTTGAATCTATATAAGTTATGGGTCCGAATCTATTGACTCAAATAGAGTTAATGGGAATAGATTTGAGTGTCTAAAGCTATAGCTAATGAATTGTGGTATCTTTAATTGTTGAGTTTTATAAATATCCAAACATAATATTTATGAGGGTTGTTGGAAGACTGTAATACCATTAATGAGAATTTAATGACTCATTAATGTTATTGGGAACTAGAAAGAGTTAATAAACCCAATAGGTAGGCTTAAATTCATACAAAGTGGGCATTGAGCAATTTAGAAGTAGAGAAATGAGAGTTGAATGCTTGTGTTTGGCAATCTTAGTGGAGATTAACTTGGTTAATTGTAAATTAAACTCTTGGACACCAATTTTGGCTTCGAAATTCAAGCTTGAAAACTATAATATTGAGGAGTAAACCTTTAATCTCTTAAAGGCTTGAGGTAACTAAGGGAACTCTATTTTGAATAGTTATATGTAAATTGCTATATAATGTAATTTATGTGTTTAGTTTGTGAATTTTGACTTGTGATGAGTTTGACATGCAATGAAATCTTGTATTTGCATGATTGCTTAATGTGTATTAAGCATGCAAAGGCGATAGTGAAATGAGTTTTACAATATCATAAGTAATGTTCAAAATGAAAGTCACTTCATATTGTGTTTTAAATGAGTAGGTGGTGATGAACATGAGAAAGAGGAGTATAAGAGGTTAAAAATAATGTGTCTATGTGTTATGAGTAAAAATAAAACTTGATGTCCACTTGGGTAGCGAAGGATCATGAACCCAACGTGTGATTGTGATGATCAATAAATGAAAACGTGAAAATGAGTGAGTATCGTCTATGGCATGATTAGTAGGCAGGAGTTTACCTATAATATTTAAGTTATCCTCAAGTGCACGGGGGCATAGCCTCATCTCACAGTTTATCGAGAGACTATAACCTAGCTTTCTCCTCTAGTTTATTGAGGAGAATAGCCTAAGGAATGCGACACTCTAAAGATAGGGGGAGCCATGATCCGAAAGTAGGTCATGTGATTTTTGGCCGGGTTACACCTCACGATTAATGAGCTTTGATAGTCTAGTCACACAAACAGAGCCCTATTCAATGTTATAGCCCACAATTTTAGTTGGAGAAAAAAAGGAGGATATAAGATTGGTTGATCATTGCTTAAGTAAACTTATAACATGTTACATGATTGTGGTGTGGTAAGTTACGTGGATAACAGGTCACAGTCACAAATCTAAATGTATTGTGACAATGCACCTAATGTATGTGATATAGAAATAGGTTAAAGGTGTGATGATAAGTTTTGATATACGATTAATTATATTTTAAATACTTAGTTTCATATGCATGTATTTGATTGACAATTGATATATAATTACATAAGATAGGTTTTACCTTAGTTATTGAGTGGTTAGATTTACCCCTCTTTTTTAACACTTTACAGGTTTTAGCTCTAGTGTAAAGAGGGAGAAGGCTCAAGAGGTTAGGAATTAGTTATTCCTACTGTATGCCTATATAATTATGTTTGATTTTGTGTAATATAATATTTTTCCAATTATAGTTTGCATATTGTTGCACTTGCACTATTTTGTTGCAAATATTTGAATTGTATTTTGGGCCTTGAGTATTTGTATATGATGAGATGTATGTGTGTGTGTGTGTGTTATTAGGACCAAAATACTAGTGTAAGTGTAGAAATGATGTTTCAAACATGTCATCATTGATTTATGAGTTAATGCAATGAAATTACCTCCCCTTTATGTTTTTGGTGAAAAAAGGATTGTGGAATGATTTTGTGTTTTATTAGTAATTAAGTGCATGTGACATGTATCAATAATCCTAGATCCAATAGACATGGTTCAGGTGTTAGGAAATACTTTTGGTACTTGTTTTGGATTTTGGACCCCCTTTGTTTGTGAAAAGTTATGAAAAGTGGTAAAATTATATTTGGGTGTCTAACTTCCTGATATAACTTATTTTGAAAGTGAAACCTATACTATTAGTTAGTTCATGAGAAGAGCTTTTGATAGACACTTAAATCATGTTATTCGGATGTCGGACGGAGAATCAGGGTGTGTTAGAAGTTCCTTAATCCTGCTATCATTTGCGTGCAACATGCTGCGGTGTATAGGCACTTAAGCCGCATTGGATTGTGCACAAGTCGTGGCACCTTACCTTGTTTCACAACAAACACGTGTTTTTGAAGTATTTTTATTCTTTTTCACTCCTCTAAGGTATCTCATACTTTTGTAACTTATTTTCACTCTGATATACGAGTTGATGATTGATTTAAACTCATTTTGATTAAGAAAACTTGGGATCCCTTGATTTTGAATTAAAACTTGGTAATCTCCTTTATGAGTTAATCCTTTGATTACCATGAGTTTGTTTGGTTAATTGTGTTTAATAGTGAGGGATTTTACAGTACCCATTCATGAAAAATTCTTAAGATAAATTAGGTGACCCATGTCATTTGTGGGTCCGTTCAATAAAAATATGACGTTTATATGACATTAAATATAAATTAATTTTAATATTAATGATAACAAAGAGAGAAAATGTAAGAAATTAAATATATATTTTGTTATAAAAATAAAATAAATTAAAATAATATCATATAAGATTTTGGGAAAATAGCAATCAAGGGCCTCTGTATAAAATTTTTATCATTCAACAATTAGTTATTGTTAAAATTTGAATGGATATTCATCAATTCAAATTATTTTTTTATTAATAAGTATCCATTTAGGTTTTAACAATTTATTCTAAATTAACCATAGTCTATTTAGGCTTATTTTCCATTCGGGTTTTGACAACAACTAATCCTTAATTGATTTAAATTTCATATAAAGATCCTTAATTGCTATTTTTTCTAAGATTTTATTTAGATGACTTGAAACTTTCTAATTGGACAAACCATAAATGACATGTCTACCTAATAATTTCTCATCATCCATAGTTCATCTAACAAAATTGCGTCAATTCAATCAAATGAAATTTTATGTATAATTATTTTTAATGAATTTATTTATAATAGAATGCCCATTTAATTTTTTATATTTTTTTACTATTATTAATGTTATCTAAATATTATGTTTTTATTAGATGGATCATGGATGATATGGTATAGTAGGTTTATTCAAGTTTAGATAAGCTAGGTTTAAAAGTTGATAAGTATTGAAATTGAAGCAAATATGTAGATTTAAAGAGCATTTATAAATATTAACTAATTGCGTCATTAGCAAGTCCTTATATTAATAGTAATGTTTGAACCTATAATCTTATACATTATGAATCAAATTATTATTAATTGGATTAATCTTCATTAGCTAATAAATTTTTAATTTATACACGCATCACATTACATTCGGCCAAATTTTAAGCTTGTTGTATGGGTGGGGACAAAAATTTTTAAACATCACTAAATAATTTAAGGAAATAGAAGTTTTAACTTGTATTTATTCATTATGAATCAAATTTATAAAATTTTTATTTATAATCTATGAACACAGTGATCATCTAAGACTTCCCTTGAATCTGATCATCTAAGCTATAGTACCCAACTGACCACACCCCACACACACACACATATACCTAGCTGCCATTTTAGAAATTCAAATTAACTTTTGCAAAATCCAATTTTGATAATATTTTTTAGGTGACTTAAAAGTTAAAACTAATTTCTCCAAAATAAAATATTTAATTTTAAGAAATAAAAAAAACACCTATAAATTTTAAGATTACAAACGGAAAAATTAAAAAATTTGGGACCCAAGACGTAATACTTTCAAAAAGAAGACAGTGGGGACTGGGGAGAGCGTGTGTGTACTATGGATAAGGGTATCCTCTCACGGACTCACATTCGTGCATCTATATTCACGCTCGCACTCTCTCTAACTCTCTTTTTCTCTCTTTATTATGTTCTTAATTTTTTCAAGTTGCAATTATAAATAATGTTATTCTACGACGTGACGCGCTTCCTTCGTCCACGTGTCCTCCCAACCTCTCCGTCTTCGCTCTCAAGAACAGAATAGAAGCGACGCGAAGCACTCCTCAATGCCCACTGTGTCTGACAGGGAAAGACCACTACTGTTAGAGGGAGGGCGAGAGAGAGGCTAGAGAGAGAAAGCAAGGAGTCTTCCGTAACCCGGATGAATTTTTCTTCTGGGTTTTTGTGGGTGGGCGATTCTGGTGCGTGAGTGACATCATTTCTGCGCGATTCTTTTGATTTCTACCCCCGGGACTTCGTTGATTTTTGATTGGGAAAAAAAAAAATTTCCTGCTTTTCGGGTTTTCTGGGAGATGTACATAGCTTCCATGCGAAAATCTTTCAAGGACTCCTTGAAAGTGCTTGAAGCTGATATCCAGCATGCGAATACCCTGTAAGGATTTTGTTTTTATTTTTTTTAAAATTTTTTATCCTTGAGATTCATGTGATAACTTGTTTATCCTGTTTCGATGGTAAAGGTGATTAATATTCTTACAAGCTTATAAACGCTCGAAAATTCCCCCCATTTTTTTCAGTTGATGATCGATGATGATTGGCTGAGTAAGGTATTTTTTTGTGGGTTTTTTTCTGGGTGCTTGTATTTGCTTTTCCTTTCGGTCATCTGTAAGCATTCAGTACCAAAAAACAGAATATGCAATTTTAACTCTTCTGTCAGCTGTCTTTCTCTTACTGGTTGGAAAAATTCAATACTTGAGAATGCTAAAGCCAAACCCATTGTAAGCTCGTTCTGGAAGTTTCCTTTAGGAACCCCTGTTCAGGCTGTTTGATCATTACCTTGGCCTACTGGATCGTGAATATTATCGACCCAATCACTGACCTTTCGCTCCCTTGTGACTTGGTATTCCCACTTGTCAGAAGTGCCCTTTTGAAGATTCAAAGCCTGGAGCTCTTCGCCCATGGAGCCCCATCTTCTTTTGGGGCAATGGCTGTGGGTGAGGTCTTGGCATGTTTCCCCTCTCACCTTGCAGCGGTGAGGAGTGGAGGCCTGTAAACTAGATACTATGCCAATTGTTCCTTCTAATGGATTGTATGCTGTTTAATTGTGTCAGTGATCGTTCATCTATTTAGTGCACCACTGTTCTCATTGCTGATGGGATTGTGTGATTATGTCTTGAGACACTGTTTTCAATTGCATTATCTCAGAATTCTGCTTTGTAGTTTTTACTTTATTTTGTGTCACATTGTCTCCATTGCCGCGGGATGCATCGTTCTCTGAATAATTTAGCTGGCTTTACAAATGTAATCTTTGAAAGGTGTCTTCTAATTACGTGTAATCCTAGTCTTTCAAAGGCCTTTTCCCTTCCATCTCACAATATTTATATCAGCATAGAGATTATTGTTTGACCATGCAAATGGACGTGCAGGGCATCAGATTTTCCGAGGGAGTATGATGGTGCGTGCCTTCAGATGAGAATGTCATACAGTCCAGCTGCACACCTCTTTCTTTTTTTAGTGCAATGGACAGACTGTAATCTTGCAGGAGCTCTTGGGCTGCTAAGAATCCTAATTTACAAGGTACCTATTATTTGTTTTTTCATATTGAAACTAGAGGTTTGGAATTTGGACAATGTCGAAATTTTCTGTCACGCTGAAGGTTTACGTGGATGGCACAACCACCATGTCTACGCATGAAAGAAAAGCAAGTATCAGAGAATTCTATGGTATCTCTATCTCTTTCTATCGTGATCTGAAAACTTGTTTTCTTTTAGCCTCTTCTAGTTGCTGATCTGTGGAATTTCAACTTTGATCAGCGGTCATATATCCATCTTTATTGCAACTTCAGAAAGGTGTCACTGACACCGAGGATAAAAAACAAAAGGCTGTTTGCATGGAGCGGTATCGAAGGAGAGATGATGAGGAGCATAAGCAATCTTCAGATGTAGACATTGAAAGAGATGAAGAATGTGGTATATGCATGGAGATGAATAGTAAGATTGTGTTGCCCAACTGCAACCATGCCATGTGCTCGAAATGCTACCGTGAATGGTAACTCCCTCCTCCCTTTCTGTATGTATTTCTGTTTTTTCAAGTCATGACATCAAGAAATGAGAATTATGGTGCAAGTAAGATGTAATCTGCCCGGACAGTTTACAAGCATTATAATGTTAGAGTTCTTTGATAAGTAAACTGATTATGGATTCTGTGCATGGTTGTGGGTCATTATGTATACAAAGCTACGGGCAGTCCTTATTTATTTTACTCTGGTGATCACAGGTTTGTTCATTTTATAATGTTACGATGGCTGTGCGGACATACACGTAAAGATAAAATTCGAAATGAGCACGTACGCGAAAAAGTGAGGGTAACACCTATTGAGGAAAAAATGGTAGAAAATCGGTTGAGATGGTTTGGGCATGTACAAAGAAGACCAAGGGAGGCACCAGTGAGAAGAGTGGAGCATATAACTTTGAGTCCGACTAAGAGGGGTAGAGGAAGGCCTAAGAGAACACTTTTGATAGTTGTTGAACGCGATCTCTTAATTAATAATATTCCTAAAAGCTTGATAAATGATAGAGCACAATGGCGTCTTGCAATCCATGTAGCCGACCCCACCTAGTGGGATAAAGGCTTGTTGTTGTTGTTGTTGTTGTATAATTCCTCTTAGGCTCTTACTTCTGCTTGACTGTGAATTTTTTGAACAATAATAACTAGATAATGAGATTGAGGAAGTACTGCAGAAAGTGATCACGGCTGATAAGGACAACATAAGTAGTTGCATTACTTTTGTTTATTCTAAATGTATTCTGACTAATTAGCACATTAGTCCTGCATATTGTGATTTCAGTTGTTATGGCTAGCATTAATAATTGTAAAATGGGTGTTATCTGTATGTTTCAATATTATCCTCTTGGCTGATTGGCGCTTGAATAGAGTAAATTTTGAATCTAATAATGCTAATTATGAAGCTGAGGTCTTGAAGGTGGGATCAACAGGTGTTTTTTGAAGTAAAGCTTGGGCATGAAATCTGAGCAGTTAAGGGGCTTGAATTCAGTCTTTGGGGGAGGATGCATTTTGCATCTGCTAAATCTTCTTGGGGGTTTGGGGGGGGGGGGGGTGAAGTTTTAGTTGTTTATGGATGGTTGATTGATCTGTATTGTGACTTTTTCATGGCCTGATTGTGTTTTTTCCCTGGAGACCTTGGGTGACTTGCCCTGTCATCAGGCATTTAAACTTTTTTAATGCTCAAGGAAATCGATTAGATTCTCTGGATCAGGGATGTTTTCACATCCCATGTGTTTAGATTATTTGTTTTTAGAAAACTAGCCTAATGGTGATTATAGCTTTGCCTAGTATGAAATTTAGTGTTTTGGATGCATTGAAGGTACAATCATTTTTGGGGTTTCTTAACTTTCTGAAATGAATAAGGTTTTATCACTGCATTGTTGAAATAAATAGCAAGATTTTTTGCCCTATTCATGTTTGGAGCTATTGTGGTGTCTTCAATCCGATAATATTTGAATGGTTTCTTGACCAAAGAAACTAGAAGAGAAAACAGTGAAGTACAAGTTCCCTGAGCTTGGCTTATGCATAAAACTACTTCTTGGGCAACTTTTAGCCATTTCTATTGGATTCTGTGATCTTGTCAACTGTCAAGCAAGCATGCCCCATGCCGCATACTTTGGGTTGTAGGGTGTTGCTTCAATTGTAAGTATATGTGTGGACTAGATGACTATGCTAATGCCACAGTTTTTTTGGAGTTTTCTAAGTTCATCTTATAATATTAATTAATAATTTTGAAGGGATGATAATGAACAGTGTAATTGAGATTACTTGTTGCCAATTAGTCAAAGCATGGCTTGTGCGCCGAGACAAATGCATGTGGTGTTGGCCCCATTTTGACCCTTAACTGTTTCACATGTGAGCCATGCGTTTCTTGATAATTTTTTGTGCTTAAACTTGTGGAGTTTTCAGTGAGTCAACTGTTTATTACGCAGGCTATTGGTGATTCAGCTGTTATATTGCATGGGTTATTATACGCATCTTAACATATTATAAGAAACAGTTTTTTGTACATGTATCCTTGTTTGTGTTTGTGCGTATCCCAAATATGACTTGTAAGAGTCAGCTGTTATGTTGCATGGGTTATTATATGCATCGTACAGTATTACAGGAAACAGCATTTTCTACTTGTTTCTATGTATCCCGAATTTAATGCACAGATCTGAACATTATGTATATTAATGTGCTAAAACTCAATGAGAAATTTATCTCAATCTGTCTGAGATGAATGACTATGCTTCAGGGACTGCACTTATGTAACTGAGTCTCAATGCATGTGATTTTAACTTGGAAGTGGCTGAAAAATGTGAGCAATGTGGTATGGTTTTGCAGGAGAACAAGGTCACAGTCATGCCCCTTCTGCAGGGACAGCCTGAAGAGGGTGAACTCGTGCGATCTCTGGGTGTTCACCGACAGTAGAGACATTGTAGATATGGCGACGGTGATGAGGGAGAATCTTAGAAGGCTTTTCCTGTACATAGACAAGTTGCCTCTGGTTGTTCCAGACTCCCTTTTGACCCTTATGACTCTCACCTCAGATAAGTGACTGCAGCCAACACACGTTATTGCTCTGGATTAGTAGTAGTTTCCTACATGAAAGTCTGAAGTTGATCCAACTCCGGCTAAATTTAGTTTATATATATATATATATGATATGATATGATATAGAATTGCAGTACTACTTGCTTCCCGCCTCTACTATGAGAAGCACCTGGCCCGATTTGTTATTGGGGGTCGGTGGTGAAGTCTGAGAATGGTAAAATTGTATGTAGCTCATTTGTATATCCCTCTGTACAGACTGGACGAATCACTTGTTGATTTGAGATTGGCACATTCTCTGTTATGCTCAGTAAATTTAATTGTGAATCTCTTGACAAACACATCTGTTCCTCACACTTGACTGTCTTCAGCACCGCTAGCACATTTCCTTTAGTGTCTTTGGTTGGTTTGTGGACGGATCCTTTTGTTTTGTCCCCCTTAACCTTCTTTCTTTTGGGCCGGGGCCTGTGGGGTTTGAGGGGGGTGGGTTTACCTTCGTCAATGTTTTTCAGGCCTTGTCCGGGATGGAAAGAAAAAGGGGGGAGAGAATATTTGGAGAGAAAATTAGAGAAAAAAGCTATTTTTAGTGAAAATTAGAGATAAAAGATATTTTTGGTTCTTGTTTCTCTTTTAATTTTTCGAAAGAGAGGGGAAGATAAAGGGAAAAAAAAACTTTGTTAGAAAGGAAAAATATATTTTTTCCTTCTAATTTTTTTCTCTTATTCCAAATGGAGGGTTGGAGATGGGAAATGAGATTGGAGGATGTGGAATTTTGTTGAATTATGAAATTATATGTATACGTTGTTGTATAATATAAAAAGACAATTACAACTTGCAAAGTAGGAATAAGTGGAAGAAGAAATGGCAATAATAGAGGAAGTACATGAAGGTTCAAAATAATTGCATTTGCATGATATTAAGAAGTTAAAAAATTTGCATGCAACCCAAAATTTATAAATAAAAAGCAGCAACAAAGAATTAAAGTTTTTTAAATTAAATATTAACTTTTATTACTATTGATGATATTTTATAAAAAATCAAAAAATAGATTAAAAGGAAACCATATTCATGCTGGGACAAAGCTAGAACCCATCATTTAATTATGATGAAAGGTAATATTAAAAAATATATATACTACAAATTTAAATTTTAAAAAGTTAAAATACATACTCTCAACACTATAAATTCTAAGATAATTTTAAATGAATTTTATTTTTTAAAAAATATGAGGTAATATCTAGATGGATGAATTTGAATTTGTATTTTAGATTTAAAATTTTATTTTCAAATATCACGTTTGAAATTCATGTATTTAAAATATTTTCTTTGAATAGTTTAAAATATTTTAAATGAAGAAAGATTTGAAATGAAAAAGAAAAATTAAAAATAATGAGTTTGTTTTTATTTTTTAATCAATAAAAGATAGAAAAGTAGAGAGTTATAGATATATTAATAATAAAAAAAGAAAACAAAATATTTGAAGTAATTAAAAATTTTAAATGACTTAGATATAGAGAAAAATTTGACATTACAAAATAATTATAATTTAAAAAGAATTGGATTTGAATTATAATTCTAAATTCATAAATTTTATGTATCCAAATGATGGATTTAATTCAAATTTAAATCCTTATTAATTTAAACAAACTATAAGAGAATTGACAAAAATTATTGTTCAAGTGGAGAGAGAATTAAAATAATTATAATTTTAAAAGTATATCAATTGAAGGGTAATTTTAAAATTTTATATTTTTATTTTAAAAAAGTAAGTTTGTAAAGTGTCATTATTAAATTTTATTTATAATCGTTGACATCTTTTCAATTTAAATTATTTACAAATTAGGTATGAATAAAGTCAAAACTATATGCATTTTTATTTATAGCTGTTAACATCTTTTCGAAAATAAGGCCATTAAATCATATTATATGTGTGAAGGGTTCAAAAATAAAGTTAGCTTTTAATAAGGACTAGTATTTTAAATTTCTAAACTATTTTTAATGTTATGTTTATAACCGTCTAATTTTTTGAAAACTATTTTGATTTTTAACTTACTAGTAACTTAACTCCAATCTAACTAGGCTTAACTTTGAAAATGATTTTTTGGTCCAACTTGGTCTATATAAGATTTCTCTTACTAAATCACAATTCACTCTAAAATTGAGATAATCAAGAGACTAAACTCTCAAAATTACCCAGTTTGTAAAGATTACAAAAATGGAAAATTCTCAAATCAATTACAATGGGATCTCAAAAATCATTTAAAATATCTATCAAACACGTATTATGCTCAACTTAGAGTTTAAAAAAAAATGCGGAAGTTTGAAAATCACATGGAACCCAAAACGTTAAGTTTCTAAACTCAAAATTGTATTTGTGTTAAAAAAAAGTGTGTCATGTGTTGCAGCTCATCCTTCTCTGTGCCATGTACTGCAGCTTGAGGCACCCTGTGCCACTGTACATTGCGCGAATTTGACAGATATCAGTTGTCAAAATGACAGCATAGGGAGTGAACTTCAAAACGCATCTCAAATCTCTGTCGGACATTCGATTGAGGTGGTTTTAGTGTCTACATAAAACTTTCTCCTAACTCTAGCTAATGGCACAGGTTTCACACTCAATTCATTTTCTATAAAAAAGTTAAACCACCAAACTCATTTTATCACTTTTTCACACAAACACATCACATTGGTGTCCCAACTCAACCTTAAATGCCAAAAGCCTACACCAAGTTTCTGACCATACTCAATGAACTCTAGCGGATTTGTGTAATGCACTATACACAACCAAAAATACATATATCCCAAATTCACCACTTTATCCCATTTTCACAAAATAGAAGGGGGAGGAAATTCATGCACAAAAATTATTATTTCATTTCAAATCATGCAAAATATGCATTTTCTACTTATCCAAGTATTTTGACCCTATCTCGATGTTTACAATACACAAGTTGTATACTATAATAATAAAAGTAGTACAAAAATGAATCATGTGGAGCCTAGTTGGCAATTTAACAAAGTTTATACACATAAACAACAAATTGAGGTATACAAAAAGGATCACTTTATAATCCTATGCCTCAGCATGCTTTTCCCAATCCTTATCTGATGAAGTAGGCCCTAAAATATTGAAAATTGAAGGGTGAGTACAACTACTCAGTAATCAAGTTTTACTTAATTTATACAATTGTTATATCAATTGTAAACAGATGTAAAAAAGCAAAAAAATACACAAACACAACACATATGATGGCTAGGCTACGGTTTATAATGCTAACAACATGTAACCGGGCTCAAGGCATATATACATATCCATAAAATGTTAATGCATATCATGGGGTCACAATAATACCAACCACATGTCCTTACACATATTGGACCACATACTAACAACCATGTGGCCGAATTTATATGCATGATTAAATGCCAACTTTATACCCTCTTATTACCTTCGATATGAAATCAGTAGCTATTCAATGACTACGTCCTTCACGAACTAACCCAGCCTTTCACTTGTAACGAGCTACCGGGCTAGGGTTAACTCACTCATTTATATAATTTGATTTCTCTCAATATTAATAACTATGAGGTATTGTAACCTTAATCTAGCCTCCTTATAAACCAGTGGAAACTAATTAAATTTGAGTCTCTCACAGAACAAGTGGGACAGTTTCAGATCATCCATAGAATAAGGGCTACCTCCCTATTCTAATAGTCAGTGTCAAGGTGAGTTCCTTATTCTAATGGTCACTGCCAATATCACATGCATTTTTCAACTCCCTCTAATGCTCATGCTATGTACGTATATCATATATTTATGCATTCTAATCCACAATGCATCTCACATGAAATCACATGTCCAAACTCATAAGCTCAACATACTTCACAAGTCAAACATCACATTTTAATTGTTTTCACAACATACTAACAATCAAAAACCATCAATCGCAAATGGATGGCAAGCATAAGGTTTCCCTATTTTCAAAACCTTTTTCCAAAATCATCACATTATCAAATTGTATCAAAATTATACATACTAGTATCAAATCATAAGTTCAATAATTTTGAAATTAACATACAATTATATGGAATAAGTTTTTATCAATTACTTCAAACCTTGAAAGGTCCAAGGTTCACCCTTCACAATACTAACTTTCAAAGCTTCACACAAGTTTGAATGGTATCAACATAATTCACACTATAATTATAAGCAAGAATATCATCGTATTCTCGCTTTTTAGGGATTATATTAACAATAATTTCACATTTCTTTATTCTATCAATATCATAAATTTCTACTGATTCATACCTAATAGGTTTATTAGGTTTCATTAACGTACCTTATCATTAATAGATTTTTAAACCACCATTATGGACCATCAACACGCCCAACAACCCCATTTATTATAATTTTCACATATTAATGGCTCTTACCCAACAAACTCTTGATAAATCATCAATGTAAGTTTTATTTATCATAAACAACTCCTATTATATCTATTTTAACAAATAGAATCAGATCCATAACTCCTATGAACCAAAAATCAACCTTCCAGGTCAAACCCTAACTCAAATCTTCATAAACATGAGAAAGAAAGGAAGATGAGAGCATATATTACTTAATTTGGATGTTTGGGAACTTCAAACTATCACCAATGTGGTCTAATGTTATGCCCTAGTAGAGCCTTTAATGTGCTCTTCATGTTTCTCCTTCTCCTTCCTCCTCTCTGTTTTTCATATGTAAAGACGAACTGATTAAATCAAATTTTTAACCGTGTGCCGCAGTGCACGTAATCCTCTGCTGTGGTGCATGACACATAAAGGCTCGTTGCATTTAAATCTACCTCTCTATAATGGGGTGGATTGAGCACACGTGGCGACATGTGGCATAGAGAGTATTCCTTTACTTTTTTTTTCTTTTTTGTTAGAGTAGTCCACCATTGATTTGAATATATTTTTAGGATTGAAATCATAATTTAAGATTAAGGGGATGTTTGTATATGATACAAAGCTTAGGAGTGTTATGTGTAATTTAGCCAAAACAAAATTGTGAGGCAATTAGGCGACCATCTCCTCCATCCGTCCCTGGCTCCCTGCATGCATGAGTATGATAAGAAAGATGCAAAATGATACATGGTTAGGTCGTTGTCTATTGAAATATATCAAATCAATGACTTAATTTACCTATGAACGGTTCTTATGGCAATAATTATCATCTCATCTCACACACTTATCTTTTGACCCAATCACGTGATATGATGCTATGTTACAAAAAAAAAAAAAAACTCGTTATCATGTAGTAATTTCATTTTTTTTTTCATATGTTATACTCACTTTATTTAAAAATATAAGATTTTTTAAATAAATTTTACTCTAATAAAAGTAGTTATTTGTTTTCAAATTAACCATATCTTTTCATATTTACCCTTATTTAATATAATATTTCACTTTAAAATAAATATAAAGTGATTTATTCAATAAGGATACCTAAAAAAAAAAGAATAATGATTGCATTTTGAAAGACTGAAAATATCTTACATTTTTTAATATCTAACTCTTCAAAAAAATATTTTACATTTTCAAACAGAGAAAGTATATGATATAAAAAGTAAGTTGTGTTCTACATGATTCATAAACAACGCTGTTCATTATAAATTTCATAATGTGTTTTGATATAATGATAAAATTTATAATAAGCTATACTATAGTTTTTCAAGTATAGTTTTTCTTAAAATTTCATATGATGCACAAAAATATATTTAGTTAAACGATGATGAAAACTTGTCATCTTAGTTGGACTAAAATCGCCTTGGTTACAACAAATGGCCCGCTTTTAAACCATTTTGAATGTCACAATATTAATATAAATACTCCCTTGATTTTAAATTATAAGATAATATTAAAGATGTTTTTACTGTTTTAAAATATAAAATAATTCATAAAAATAATATTTTAATAATAATACTTTTTTAATACCATCTTTAATAGAGAGAGAATTAAAATGATTATAGATTTAAGATTATATTTAATAAAGGATGTTTTTAGATATTTATATTTTTATTTTTAAAAATTATAAAGTATCATTATTAAATTTTATTAATGTGTGTAATCTTTATATCAAATTATTTTATAATTTGAGAAGAAAAGGTGCTTAGCAAACGAACTATGCATTAAATCAAATATTGCACCTTAATGTAATCTTTATATCAAATTATTTTATAATTTGAGAAGAAAAGGTGCTTAGCAAACGAACTATGCATTAAATCAACACGTATTGATAAAAAAAAAATCACCCAAAAAAAGGGGGGGTTGCCAATACCTTGTCATTGGATTTTAGGGGTGCTAAAAATTTAAGGTGCTATTTTGTTATATATTCCCAAAACGTATCAAATTCTTATTCTAAATAGTGCTCTTAATTGTGATTCAATTTGTTTTCTTTTTTTGATACAAAGAATTTTCATGTAAATTGTCGCAAAAGTGGCATTGCTTTATTTTGAATTAAATAAAACCATATTGGAATTCATCAGATTCTCTTAAAAAAAGGGTAAAAAAAAAGAGTCACACCACCCAAAACACTGCCACCACACGTCCACGCCAACGCCGTTGGGAGTGCGTGTGAGTGACTGTTGATGAACGTGAGGAGCAATTTTGAACGCAGAGAAAGAGGAGGAGGAGGGAGAAGAAGCTGACCTTAGAATCTAAATTTAGATTTCTTATTTTTGTTTTTGTTTTGTTCCTTTTTGTGTGTTTAGAAAGTAGAGAGAGAGAGAGAGAGAGAGAGAGAGGGTAAGGCAGAGAAGGCAGAGAGTGGTGCACATGGGGATGGGCGAACGAAGAGAGGAGGAAGAAGGGGTCGTCATGTCCACCGACTTCTTCTGGTCCTACACCGACGAGCCCCATGCATCGCGGCGGCGGGAGATCCTCTCTAAGTACCCTCAGATCAAGGAGCTATTTGGCCCAGATCATTGGGCTTTCCACAAGGTTTGCTCTCTTCGAGTTGTTTCCGTTCGTTTATGCGTTTTTTAATGGCTGCTGTACCGAGCATGTCGTTAGTTAGAGATTTGGAGACAATGCAGAGGTTTTGAAGAATCGGATTTGAGTGGTTTATGGTTATATTTCAAATGTGAGTCCTTGTGGATTGTTGGTGTGCTGGATATTTGTGGTTTTTGGTACTGATTTGAATTTTGGGTATGGATTCTGATGTCAGTTTTATCCGTTATGGTCGTTTCTTTTTCTTTTTTGTGGGGTTTATTGGATTTGTTCGATGGATCTTGAGAGGTTAATGTGGTTTCTTTTACTGGATAAATGGATTTCTTCTTCCTATTCAATGTAAACTGGCTGAGATTTAGCTTTCTTATCTGTTTTCTTTTCCTTTTCCTTCCATTCGTTTATCTTTCTTTTCCGCATTAGATTTGAGTGGTTTATGATTGTATTTATTTCGATTTGTTTGCATTGAGTTGGTGTTTTCTTTTCTGGCCCCCTCCTCCCCTCTTTTGCCTGAAGAGTTGGTGTTTTCCAATATCACGTCCGGATTGGGACTTTTTGTTTGCTGTGAAAAATCAATGCATATTATTCTAGATTATTTGGGATTTGAAATGGATTGCTATTTATCTTGTTTAAATCTTACTTGTTGGATTCGGTCCCTGTTCTTTGTTCTTGGATTTCACATTCAGCGTATCTGCACATCTTGTATATCCTGAGCCTTTTCTTTGGTCTTTAAATTGCCTTCGTTGCAAAGATAAGTTTCTTTACAGTTCTTCTGTGCTGTCTAACTCAACATGTCGTTCGTTTGACTCAGTGAGAGAAAGAGAGAGGGGTTCGTTTGCTTAGTATTCCATTTTATTTCTTTACCAAAAATTCATGGATAAAATTGTGTCAAAAGGACAAGGTCAGGCTTATCTACTCTTTATTCCATTTTATTTCTTGATCAGCAATTCATGTTACCTTGCGTTGGGAGTGAGGCATTGATATGGCCACAATAAGTCTTTTCTTGTTTTCCTTGGATATCTCCCTAGAAATTTCAAGTTGCATAAATCTCTATCAAAATTATAATTGCCAAGTTTGAGTATTATTGAAGTCTTGCTTTCTTTAAACTGGCCCTTCATTGTATCGTCAAAAGTGGTTCAAGAAAATTCACAATTGATGCTGGCATGATATATTATGCTCATATTTATTGACCGGTGTTGCTTCAAATTTATGACGCTATGGCCAAATATTGGTATCAAGATAATGATTTGACACATGATTTATTTGGATGTATAACCTTTTAGCCTTTTAACAAACCTTTAATATTGTAGTTGTTGTTACAACGAGAATATTTCGTCATTTGCTTGAAATTGTGATTCTGCAGATTACAGTAGTAGTTTTGCTTCAGCTTGGTACTGCTGCCTTGCTACAAAATGCTGCCTGGCTGGAGATACTCCTGATATCCTACTTTTTTGGTTCATTTCTCAACCACAATCTCTTCTTGGCCATCCATGAGCTCAGCCACAATCTTGCCTTCTCAACTCCCGTGTACAACCGGTGGCTGGGAATTTTCGCTAACCTCCCTATTGGTGTGCCAATGTCTGTGACTTTCCAAAAGTATCACTTGGAGCACCATAGATTTCAAGGAGTAGACGGCATTGATATGGATGTCCCTAGCCTCATTGAAGGGCGTGTTGTGACCAATATTTTTGCAAAAGCCATATGGGTTATCTTGCAGCTCTTCTTTTATGCCCTTCGCCCTCTGTTTCTTAAACCAAAACCTCCTGGTTGCTGGGAGTTCATTAACTTTGCCGTTCAAATTGCCCTTGACGCCGCGATGGTTCATTATTTTGGCTGGAAATCATTTGCCTATCTTATCCTCTCAACGTTTGTTGGTGGCGGGATGCATCCAATGGCAGGGCACTTCATTTCCGAGCATTATGTCTTCAAACCTGACCAAGAGACATATTCTTACTATGGTCCTCTTAATTTTCTCACCTGGCATGTGGGCTACCACAATGAGCACCATGATTTCCCTAGGATTCCTGGGAACAAGCTTCACAAAGTGAAGGAGATAGCTCCAGAGTATTATGAGGGCTTAGCATCATATAAATCTTGGAGCCAGGTCATTTACATGTATATTATGGACAGATCAGTTGGACCTTTTAGCCGAATGAAGAGGAAGCTTCAGAAAACTGAATAGGTGCTCCTCCTATACACATTATCGTTCTTTTTATATCCTTACCTGTATCCCCTTCTTTTCTCTCTTGAATTTTTCAATGTAGACTGTGTTTTGATGGTGTGATAATTATATGTAACATTCTGAAGCCATCAGGCTGTACTCAGTTTTCAGCCTAATAGCAAGTCATTTTTTTCTCAATGCATTCCTCAATCCTTACCTGTTTTGAATTTCAATTTATTCTGAATTCTCTATCTCTCAAGATCATCTTTTAACTTCTGTTCTCAATGTAGATAGCATAACAGTTAAGTCCTGTTTGATTGCTAGAAAAAATGTAAGAAGAATGGATTAAATAAACAAAGGCAAAACCAAAATGATCAAAATGTAAAGGGATGATAGGTCAATCATATTCATGAGGAGGAAGGGTAATTTAATTCATAAGGTTAATAGTTATTATAGTTCATGAGGTTTGTGGAGTGTAGGGTGGTTTTCACATTTGTAGCATGTAATATTGGATTTTATCATTCTTATTAGAAGGGGAGGATAATTTAATTCATTTTTATTTCAATTTCTTTAATCTATTTTCTTATCATCCTTTATAGCAATTAAACTTCTCTTAAGTTTTGATTTTGTAACTTTTTTTGACTTATCATCATGCTGACCGGATTTTTGTTTGTTGCTTTCTGGACAAGTTTCTTATACTCAACATATATTATGCAATGTATTAATCACCCCCTAAATACCCCAAGTTTTTACTCTACAGTTCTTAACCCAAAACCTAAATTAAAATTGGATTGAGCCGGTTCAATTCCTCTGCATCTTTGTCATATTCCAGTAAGAAACTAGTCAATGTTCCCACGAATTATATGAATTTGGGGGGAAAAAAAGAAGTAAAGATTTTATGTTGATACTTGATACATGATATGAAAATAAGTGAAATAGAAAATGAAATGAAAAAGGTGGTTACGAAGATAAAATAGCTCTCACATAAGTCTTATTCCATTAAGTGAGGTCAGTTATATGAATTTTTTATGCTATTGTGATTTATGATATAACAAGCTTTTAAAAGTTAACTAAGAGATTTCAGTTAATAATTTTTAAAAGTGTTCTCTTTGACCTTCCCTTTACTTCTCTTAATAGAGTTCAAACTTATCCACTGCACTTTCCTCACTGGCACCTCTTGCCGTCTTCTTTATATATGGTCAAACTATTTTAAATGAATTTCTACCATTTTCCTCTCAATGGGCGCTACGTTCACTTTTTCACATATGCACTCATTTTGAATTTTATTTTTTTGTGTATGTTTGCACATCTATCTCAATATTCTCATTTCTGTTACTTTTCAACTTTATCTTTTTGTTGTCATATTAAAGGTCAACATTTACTGCCATATGATATAATTAGTCTTATAATGATTAATCATCATTATTACTTAGTAGTAGTGCATCATAAATAGGAAATATTCCAAAACATGTCCACAAACATTTTCACTTACAAAGATTGGGAATGTAGCTATAAAGAACCTTTTTTTGTACAAGGCTACTTTTTGCACTAAGAATAACTAATTTTTTTTTTAACTAGATAAATTTTAAACTATACTTCTCTGATCCTATTTATAAGTCACTTTTAGCATATTTCACCAATATCAAGGAAAATATTAAAACTTATTAACTGTCTTAAAATTTAATAAATTTTTAACTTTGCTCTTATTAAATATACATACTTCAATAATACATTTTCTCTCTCCAACATTCAATAAAAGATAAAAAAAGAAATTTGTGATGAAAACTTAATGGCATGACTTATATATAGGATTAAAAAAATTCTTCATTCTCTGCTTTATAAATAGGACTAGAGGGAGTATTTGTGTAGTCTATCTATTTTTTTCCCCTTAGAATAAGTGATGATAAAATCTGAAGACAAACCAGAAACACTAATAATAATTTAACGTGATCACTCTTTTCTAAATCTAATTGGCTCGTTGTTTCTGCAACTTAGCAACTAATAGGAATGCTTTATAAGTAACACACTTTGTATCCCTTCACACCAGTTTCCTGAAGTACCACTCATAGAATTCAGAATCTCTTGCTTTTGCCTACCAAGTGTTAAGATGGTATATTATGATTAGGAAAAAGAAGATGGGGAAAAAAATAGGTCTTTTAGAATAAGAAAAAAGTTATAAGTAATTAATTCCAGCTGTTTCTTTAGGTGGATGCAATCTGGGGTCTACCACAAACAGCATATTGTGGGGTCTGAGAAATTTGCTTCAACTTCAACAGGTGAAGCCTTGGCATAGTGTGGTCCAACATTAGGATTGGCGGTCCCAACAGGTCATGATTGGAGCATATTCATGCCATAAATATTAAACAATATTTAATATTGACCGTTCAGGGTTTAACATAATATGCTCCTTTTGTTTGGCTTGGGACCAACTATGAAAGAAATAAAGGTAGAGACATTGAATTAGCTGTTGATAGAACCTACGTGTGTGGCGGATTATTTAGTGTGTGATAAGGCTTGTTCTTCTCCTTCTTCTTGTTTTTTTATTTTCGCTGTTGACTGGAAGAGAAGAGGAGGTTTGTATGAAAGGAGATGAGAAAACACAAAGGTAACATGATTAAATAAAAATTAGATGTACATTTATCCTCTCACTTAATGTCCCAACATTTCATTTTTGCTTCAAAAGCTCCCCTCGAGCTCGTTGGCCCAATCCACTTGCTATTGCTTTTTTAATTTTATTTTATTTTTGAAAAGTTAGCTTGCACATTTGTAAAGTACCAAACAACATCTCACATCTGAAAAGGGAAAAAACAGTTTCCAAATACTAAAAGTGTCAAATTTAAACGGACCCTAAATCTTACATTGTTTACTCTTTTCTTTTTCTTTTTATCTCATATTTGATGGTTAGTGAGGAACATTAGCGTTGGAAAAGAGTAAAGTGAGATCATGTGCCCTTAGATAAGATGATCACTGGCCCTATCCACTGACAGATTTCCAAGTTTAAAATCATAAAATTTTTAAAGATATTATTTTAAAAGGGTTAAGTTTCAATTTTGTTCCTATATTTTTTTTAGGAGTGTTGGATATCTTATACTCTTAAGTGGAGTAAGTTTTCTTCTAAAGTATTTTTGAGGTCCAAAAATGCCCTTATGTTAACAGGCCATTAATTATGCCATTTTCTACTGACGTGACATGTGTATACGGCCTATAGATAATGGCAGGTAAGAAACTAACCATATCCTTTAGTGTTAATTTATCTCTAAATTCTTATTTAGGAGCATTGGGCACCATAAAATCTTTTTTTAAAAGCAATGGATATGTTGAAGTCTTATTAAAATAAATTTGAATAAATATTGCCAAAATATTAAATATTTTCATATTTAATAATTTAAATATTATTATGCATAAATATTCATTTAAAATTTATCAATTACTTTTTAAATTTTAACAATTCAAACTAACATTTTATAAATTTATATATGACTTCTTATTTTTTATATATCGATATTTGATTTTCTCTCTGAGGTAATTTTCAAATCGTTTACTTTTTTTGTGTGTTGGAATTTCTATGTCATTTTAAATTTTTACATCATTTTTTGTAATTTTTTTGACCAACTAACGATCGTCCTTTAAAATATTACACTATATAAATTTAATACTTTTTATACATTGTAATATTAGGAGTAAAATTAAAAACATATGACAAATCAAGACTAATAGTATGTCAACAAAAATATTTATTTAAAATATATCACTTATTCCATTAATGTGCTACTAAAAAAGTTACTTAACAAGAGAAAAATGAATAAATGAGAAGAAAAAAATCCCCCATTAATTTGGAGGTTCATTCCTTTCGTTTTTAATACCAAATTGCAACATATCAAAAATATTAAAATATTAAATTGAGTGGTGTAATATTTTAAATAATAATATTTAAATTATTAAATATTAAAATACTTAATATTTTAATAATATTTATTAAATTTTATTTTAACAAAATCTTAGAATACCTAGCACTCTTAGAAAAAGAATTTAGGGTGCTTAGCCACTTAAAAATATGGTTAAAGTTTTACATGTCACTATACGTGGACCTCAAGCATATGCCATGTTAATAAAAAATGAAAAAAAAAATTTAACGATTGACTAATAGAAGGAGTTTTTTGTTTCTTGAAAAAAATAATTTAAGGATAAAATTAATTACCTCACTTAAGAGTATAGAATATCTAACGCTCCTAAAAAATAAGTATGAGAGTAAAATTAGATCTTAATCCTTCTTAAAACATAAGGAGTTGGCAAACTTTATTGGAGTTTAAGGATTAATGTTCAAGGATTATGAAGTGCTCACAAATTGGCAAAATCAAAACAGATTTTGAATGTCAACTGTCATTGTAGCCACCAATTGAAGAAGCAAAACCATAGTCATCATCTACTTTCTTTGATTTAAGAACTGTCAGTTTAGAAGTTTATGATTAACTTGAAAGATTAGCAATTAGAGAATGGCAACCATCCATTCTTGAATATTAGGAATGGTTGAAGTAAAATAGCCTTGGAAGCAATCCTTGTTTATGATGCTTACTGCCAATTCACGATGATTGCAAAATCTTTTAATGTTGTGTTTTGAGTCACTTTGCCACAAAATTTAGGGGATACCATAAATGAAAGTATCTGTAATGGTTGGGTTCAATTTATGAATATGAGACTTATATGTCAAATAGTGAAACTAAATCTTGACCATCAAATAATCAATTTGTATGATTGTTTAATGAAATTATTTACATAGTATTAATTTAAAAATATGAATTGAAATAATCTCAGGTGCAATATCAGAATCTGTGACCAAGTAATTAGGTATTTGAATCCATGTAACTTATGCTTAACTACTTGAACTAAAGACCAAAGTCTGAAAAGCCATTCACATTTATCCTATCATAGAACTATTGGGCAATGAATTTCTGCAAGCTGGTGGAGCTTCCAACAACTTTAATCTAACCTTGATTAGTGATTGTTAAATAATTATCGACATCCGCGTTGCTGTGGTGTAGTGGTCATCACGTCAGTCTTACACACTGAAGGTCCCCAGTTCGATCCTGGGCAGCAACACATTGGTGAATTTTATTTGATTTTCTTTTCCTTTTTGTTTTTTGTTTTCCCTGAAATTAGTTTCAACTCTCAACTCAGAACGTGCCTTGATGTGTGTGGCCTTGACGTTACTGCAGTTTTATTATTATCGAGGATTCAACAAAAATACTATTCACTACGTATTTAAAGATAGTATAATGAATAGTTATTTAAAAAAAAAGGATAGCATAATGAATTTTGTTTAAAAAAAAAACAAAGAAAAAGTGAACTTGTACGTACATTTATATGTAACTTTTTGTCACTGTATGCTCCAATAAAAATTATCAGCATTTTAGCATACGATTAGTGCTTCGTAAGCTCTCCATTAAATCAACCATATCTCATTTTGTATTCATATTTCCATGACATTTTTCATTTTCCCCAGATCATCCTCCATTTGTCTTTATTCTCAGTCCCAGGATAGAACTTGAAAGATTCAAATTTGAAAATTGTCCTAGCAAAAACTTGATTCGAAATGATGCTATGCTTCAATGACATCAAAAAAGATTCGATTACACTTTTATCATTATTACTTTATTATCACGGGTTTTAAAAACCAAACCGAACCGGCCAGTTCAATCAGTTGAACCGAAAACCGGCTCTTGGTCCGATTCGGTTGACCCCTAAAACCGATCAGTAGAGAACTAATCAACAACCGGTTGAATCGGTCAAAAATCGGTAAAACCAAACAAATACCGGACCAGTTCTCATGAAAAAATCGGATAAAATTTAAAAAAATAAAAAAAATAAATTAAAATTAAAATTAAAATACATCTTTCTTGATATTTAAATGAAAAGCTTCACTTATAGTTAATATTAATTATATATTTATTAATAACAAATTATATTATCAAGCATCTATAATATATTTTTAAAAAATATGCATATTTAAATGTATTTTTTATTTAATTATGATACATAAATTAAAATATATTAATTTAATATCAACCGGTTCGACTCCGATTAGACCATAGTTCGACTAATGAACCGTGAACCAATGCCTTGTCCGGTTCAATGACCGATTCGATTTTAAAACCTTGATTATCACCCACAACTACATTTATCCTTTTGTTTTAATCAAGACTTAAAAAGTTTAAAATTTTCACTTCTACACAAGCACATGCATCTTTGGTTTTGTCCCTGTACATACGTTTTTCTTATCTACTATGTAAGTCTCACAGAGACAATAAAACAAACAATCATATAGTAAAAATGTCAAGCATTGCATCAACAATACAAGCCTTTAAAATTACAAGATCATTTCACACAATAAAAATAAATCAAAATCAATATTCAGCCTTCAATTTTTCTTTCTTTCTTTCTTTTTAACATCAAGAAGGATTGTACTTTTGATCATTTTGCCCAAACCTCATCTCATCTTTGCTACTTGAACTATCTCCACTGGTGCCATCAGCTGATTTTTCAGACTCCTTCGGGCTGGCCTTTTTTATCAGATTTTTTTTTTTCTGACCTCACCTTTTTAATCAGAATTGAAGCATTCTGATTACAATTGCTTCAATTCTAAGCGACCAACGAAGATTGGTCCGAGTAATAAACAGTTTGGTTTCACTTAAGTAAAGTCTTAGGTTTGAACTTTATGTATGTAGAAAACACCTGATGGGAGACTCATCCACCATAGCCAGGTGTGCACACGGGTCAAATCCAGATTGGTCAAGGTGAAGCTTTGGATACCAGGTGAGCAACTAAAAAAAAAAAAATTGAAGCAGCGACTAATTCATCAGTATCATGATTGAGTTGGGCATTTCAGTCAGTTTATTACTCGGTGGCGAACTAGAGCCTAAATTTATATGATGATACGTCTACTCAGAGTGAACAACTGCCGGCAAGTCCTGGTGTCCCTGGCCTATTTCAGACTCTCCCTTAAATATTTGATGAGGTTCTAGGGCTGATTTGTCAACATTCGTATAATTTCTAAGGCAACGATCATCAAAATTGCAATTCTTGAAATTTGGCAAAGCTTTTCAACCCCATCAATTTTCTCTTCTTCGTAATACTTCAGAAACGCACTTATAACTTCCGGTGAAGGACTCCATCCACCATCATCCTTTTCTTCTGAAAGAGCTGCCTCTAGGTGATGCACTGCAAGGTCTTCCTTTCGTTTCTCCAAGTAGAAGAGTACAAACCTTTCATGAGTCTTCCAAAAAGGTCCTTTGCCCTGCCTCCCCTCAATGGCCTCTTCAAACACTGACAAGGCTTCTTCACAGAGGCCCTGACTCAAATAGGCACTTATAACTGTACTCATTAATCTCATATCATAAGATCTACAACTTGATTTCCACTCCTTAAAGCATTTTGTTATACCTTCAATATCATTAAGCCTACGGAGGGATTGAAGCATTGTAAGATAGCTCACGTTGATCACTGGAGGGACTGATTTGATGCAATCCCATACCCTATATACTTCACCTTGATTACCAGTCCCTGCATAGAGAGTTAGTAGAAAATGGTAAGCTTCACGCTCCTTTGGTCTCGCTATCTTTTCTAACATCTTAAGTGCAGATTCAGCTTTCTCAAAATGTTTAGCCTTTACATAGATAGCAGCAAGATTGCTATAAGTCAGCCAACTGATGTTGTCTTCGCTTTCCCTTTTCATTTCCTCAAAGACTCTTTCTGCTCCTTCAATATCATTTAAGGAGGCATAGCTATTCATCCAGATATGATATATAGGACCATTCATTGGAATTTTCCTCTGCTTCATATTATCTATTATTGGAGGCACCTTCTCAGGTTTGCCCAGTCTCATATTTAAACACATGAGATTACTAAAGGGCAGATTTCCAGTGACATAACCGAGTTCATCCATCTTTTCAAAATGAGCCAATGCCTTGTCTTCCATTGATTGCCTGCAGTAGCAATTCAAAAGAGTTCCATATGTAACTTTGTTCTTTGCTCGAGGAGGAAGACCACTGAAATAGCTCTCAGCAGCAGCCACCCCCTTAGTTAGGGACACTAGATCTAAATATAGTGCAAAGTCTGTTATGGAGAAGTTAATTCCCCTAAATTCTATCCATTCCATTATCTGCATTGAAAGAACAAACAAAAGATTCATTATCTGCATATCCAAGATATACACAACAATCAATTCAGAGAAGGGGAAAATAATTTATCTTTGAACCCGGTTAGTTATGTTTCCATGAGATCTCATTTGCAATTATCAAAATTACATTTTTCGTTATTCATTCAGTGAGAGACATTTACTTTCAATTTTCAGGGTTCAATATGGTCAGGTCACAACCTCCTTCACTTCAACCTTGTCGTGAAACACTCAGTCTCACAGGTAAATACACAAGAATTCAGCTGAACATTTTTACAAGGGCTATCAGAGAGATGGGAAAAAAAAAAGGCAGAAGCAGAAACCTCGAGTGCATGCTGGAATTTACGATACTTTCGGAGCTCCTTAACACAAGTTTGGAGTTGGTCTTTCCTGAGGACTCTGCCCTCCATAATAAACTGGTTTAACGTCTGCGACACGGTCCTTCCTGTCATATCCAGTGACGATAATTTTCGATAAAGGGTAGCTCCAAACGCCGAATGCTTGGCCTCCGATTCGCTGGCTTCGTCGCGGCCGTACACATCTGCCTGAGCAGCCACCCTCCGCCGGAAATCAAACGGCCAAAATTCATCTTCAATGGAGTTAGTTAGGGTTTATCGTAGCTGTCCAAAAACTAAACCCCTCGGCTTGCAAAACCCTGCACGAAAAGCGGAATGACACTCCGCCACTTCTACGGTTCTACCCCATCACTCCCTTTTTTTTGTTTTTTGTTTGTGTACTCGCTCTGTTTTCATATATATATTACCAATTTGAGATGTTAAGTGGAAGTACTCGCTCTGTTTTCATTTATAATGTAAATTATAAGAATGATTAAAAAATAAAAAATATTTATTAAAATAAATAATTTTATTTATATAAAAAATAAATAAAAAGTAATAATTTTTTATAAATAAAAACCGATAGAGTAAATGGAGTGAAATCGTACATAACATTAGCTAAAACATACTTTAAATTTTTTAATTTTATATAAAATTTTAATTTAATCTGTTAAATTTATAAATTATTTTTTTAATTCTTTAATTTTAATATTATTAGTTTTAAATAATTATTTTTTATCAATTATTGTCATTTAAAAAAATTAAACTTAATATGTTAATATTTAAAAATGTTTTGTTAATTTTTAAAAATTAATATAAAAATTTATTAGGATACAACTAACAGTGTTAGGATTAAAAAATTAAAAATAATTTATAAAGTTAAAAAATTAAAATGAAACATTATGTAAAGTTAAAGAATTTAATATATACGTTAGTCATAAAACATTTTACTATTTAAAAATTTTATTAAAGAAATAAATAATTTTATTTAAGTATTATTTATAAATAAATATAAAATTAATAAATTTGAATTAGATATCATTATATTTTTTAGGTGAGTAGGAGTGAAAGAGTGGGGGGAGAGGGGTGAGAAGATGAAAGTTAAAAGAAATTTTTGGATAGATTCAATGCACCATACCATCTTTAGTCCATCTAATAAAAACAATGAAAATATGATACTTAAATAACCTTAATATAAATTAATTTTGACATTTATGATAATGGAGAGAGAAAGTGTAAAAAATAAACAAGAATTCTATTATAAAAAAATTTATTAAAAATAATGACACAAGATTTAATTGAATTGATGTAATTTTATTGGATGAATGTGATGCACTGCATCCACTTAAGAATTTCTTATGTTATTTATATCATATTATTTCATCATTAACTCCCAAATATGGGGTTAGGAAAAATGGGTTTAAGATGATAAAGGAAGATTTGGAACAGTGCTATGAAAACTAATCGACCATTGAAAAATCAAAGTACTGATTCACGATTTAATAGTATGACCAGTCTAAACTGTAGTCCAATAGATCATAAATAAATTAATATATTTTAAATATATTTTAAATATTATATGTTTAAAGTAGAAAGAAATAATCATATATAGTAAAAAATGAATATTTAAATTTAAAACAAAATAATATACAATAAAAAAGATAATATCCATTAATATTACATTATTTTCATCCAAAAATATATGTAATTATTTTATAATTTATAACTTTCAAATATATACATATATACATAATTCATTGATATTTCTTGCATTCTTTTTCATTTTATAATGTTTATTTTGTATAAATGTGTATAAATTATATTTTAGAAATATGAATTAAAAGCAAAAAAAATAAAAAAGTAATATGTTCGATTCAACTAGTTTTTCACCAATTTTATTGCTTTTGGCCAGTTCAACCAGCTCATGATTGGTTCATAAAATGAGCGATTTTTTATTGTAACTAGACCATACCTATGGCCGGTTCAACTGGTCGGTCGGTCGATCTGGTCCAGTTATGATAACAGTAATTTGAAAAGCTGTCCTAAGCTAGTCTACTTTCTTTTAAAATTTTTTTTTTCAAACAATACTATATAATTTCTAACCATCCCACCCCATTCCATTTCATCTTAAAAAAAAAAAAGAAAAAAAAAACTCTCAAATACTACCTAAGGCCTCACTTGGTTTGAGTTTTGGGAAGAATTTTATGTTGAGATGACCTATATTAGATCATCCGGACTTAATTTGGATGTCTTACAAAAAAAAAAATTGAATGGCTCATATTTATTAATTTTTTATTTTTTTAATAAATTATTTTTTTAATTTTATGATCATCATTCTGACATAAAAATAATTTTTTATATGAAAAATAACAGGTTAAAAAGTTTTAAATCTAAATTATCCAAAATTAATTTTGACTGACCCAAATTTCATCACAGTGGTGAGAAACAAAACCAAATGATTTTGACAGGCTTTAAGCATGACTTAAAAAGGGATGTATTTTGATAACTGCCATCGTGGGGTCTCATTTATAAGATATTTTTAAAGTTATTTGATGTTATATAATATAAAGTATTTTGAAAAAAAAAATGATTTGTCAATGAAGTTCATTATAAAATACTATTTGTATACTTAACTTCATATACATAAAATATTTGCTTTTAATCCAATCAATACATGTGAATCAGCATATGAGAACGTTGGAATCACAGGATCTGATATATTCTTATTATTAATATTATTAATATGTTAAAAACCAACTTGTTTTAATTTGATGGGAGAAAAATATATTAAATAGACAAGGCTAACTATTTAAGTCTTTATCTTCTAAAGTCATCCTTCATTTTTTCGCTGGTTGAATATTCTCTCTCCCCCTTATTAAATGAAAGACATTTTTTAAAATTTATATTTTTATAAGGAAATTAAAAACTATATTAAATTGATTTTATTCATATTCACAATTTTACCGGAAAAAACATCTTATAAAATAGAAAGGAATGAGTAAATGTATAAATGTAGTGCTGGCTTTCTTCGTGATATTAATGGGTCCCTGGATCTACGAAATTCGTGAGAATTCTTGCAGATGCAATTGGCATAGATGACGCTGTGAACCTTTTAATTTTGACAATGGGAATATTCTTATATTTGGTAGAGATTTAACATGATAAAAATGGAAAGACATAGTATTTAGCGACCACATTATTATCTTAACAAGCAATTTTTCTATAGGCAAATATGACTTTTCATTTCCTGTTCGTTCATGTTCAATGATATTCAATAAGCTTAGCAAAGGAATAGGCAGCACATGGACAAGGTCAATGAAAGAAGAAATCATAGAATGAATGAAATTTCATGCGAAGCAAACATATAAATCGAACCATGCATCGTCTTTAGTTTAATACTCTACCATACAAAAATATAAAATATTTTTTAAAAGTTGAATATTAAAAAATATAAAATATTTTTAATATTTAAAGTGCAATTATGGTCTTTTTTTCAAAAATGCCTACAAAAAATACATCACTTTATATTTATTTTAAAGTGAAGCATCTTATTAAAGAGAGGTAAATATAAAAATATAATATTAATTTAAAAATAAATAATTACTTTATTTTCATAAAAAAATATTTTATTAAGAGATGAAATACGATTAAAAATATTTTATATTTTTGAATTGAGAAAATATATATTACCAGGTTTTTGGATGAAATTCAACCTTTATTTGCTACAAAGCTGCTCTGAAATTGTTCTCTTACATCGAATTTGTAATTTTACTTAAATTAACACTGAAATCAACTTTTTGATTCACTATTCCCGGCAACATCAAGCCAACATCTCGTGAAACTGACTCAGTTGATCTCCTAAATGCTATCAAATCAACCTCATTCATTGGATGGAGACATTAATCTTGACCAAATCAGAAAATCCAATACCAGGATAAACTGCAGCAAACAAGTCTGATTATTACAAAACAACCCCTTCTGCCACAAAAAAGAGGTACTATTTTCCACATGTTGCTCTGCACACTGCTGCTTCGCCTCCGCATTGCCGGCTACTTTTGACGGCGTAAATAATCACGGACATAAGGATGTACCTCAGTCTTGACAACCATGTGCATCTTCTTTGAATCTTCCCACAACAAACCATTCCATTCTCGGGCACAGTCACAAGCACCTTCAAATACATCCTGCCCATAAATGATACAAAGTATAAGATTTGAAGGGACTATTAAATATACCAAACTCGAGAGGATGGATGCTAAATTTCTACCCTGGAAGGGAACTCATCATAGTAATATGCTTCAGTCATCTCAACTCTGTTCAGATCAGATTCCCAAAGCCTCATCTGTCATATACCACAGTATATTGTCAGAAAATAATGACTAGTATTGCTATAACTGTATCCATCCCACTAAAGAAAATCACAAAAAGAATCCATGAAAGATAGAAGTCATAGAACTAAGTTATTAATACTAAAACCAATCTCAACCTGATCCGTAACATTTTCTGGTACGGCTGGTATTCTCTCTGCAACTCGAGGATGAGCATTCTGCTGAAGAAAACTGATTATCTACCATAGAAAAACAAATGCAGGTTTATCAGCAAAGAGATTGATAAAACACCTGAAAGTCAACTGAAACCAACAGCAACTATTTGGGGAGTACGGGAAAGTAAGCAAAGCGGCTGTATAACCCCCCCCCCCCTACACACACACAAACATTTCCCCTCCATTCAATGCACTGCATTTTATGGGGCGGCAATAAGTTTTGAGGGCATGCCAATCCCCGCGTTAGTGGCTGTTAATATATGTGTCGCACAAAAAGAACAAGCTTCTCACAAATTTTACTATTTGACCCTGTATAAGAATTACCATGAAACTCTTTCACAATTTTAGCATGTTCCATATGAAATTCTAGAGTTTTCTTCTAGGAAAGGGTACAGTTAATTCAAGGAGTATACAAACTAATATTTTACAGGACATAAATGATACTCTGCTAAAAATGTCAAAAAATAAAGATATCTGCAAATCTAATAACTTTCTTCTTGGTACAAGGTATGCATGACTCCAGAAGCGCCAAAAAAGTGAAAAGGATTTGTTGGGCCAACGAAAGTGAAAAGGATTGTTCATCAATGAAGGCTCAATTAAGCTATTCGAGGTGCACAGAAAGGGTTGAGGTGGCAGATCAACACATGTCAAGACAAAAATGAATAGCATATTACGTTACCTTCCCAGAATTATGTGAAGGTTAACAAATTGAAACAGAAAGCAAAATATCCGTAGGCCAAAGGGGCATGTCGTAGTAAGAAAATATACCTTCTTATCCATGGTGAGGAAACAAGTTTAGTAATTTGATAGGTCCCAACCCACTACTGCCACCAAAACATATAGAAGACAAGGGGGAGTGGCAAAAGGGCAGAAAATGGGTTATTGGTCCTGAAGAAAAAAATTTTGGTTCAGAGAGCCAATCTCTTGAAAGTTGGCAAATTAAGTCTATGAGTTTATGGTTCTTCTTTGTTGTGCTGGAAGTGTGTGTTAATTTAGTAAGTATTTTAGTCCTTCAGTTCCTCCTGTTTGTTAGTGTTTTGAATCTGTAATCTGTGCTTCCTCTCTGTGTCATTTGTACTATTTGTATGGTTTAATATTCACTAGCAGAGGTATAACCATTCTGAGTTCGTTGCTGTACTTGTGGGTTTTCTGGGTGTAATTGGGGGTGCTGGTTTGTAAGTGGATATATTGTAAAAATGTGTCAGTGAAATAGCAATATTCAAGCTCCCCAGTCGGCTTAAATTTTGAAAATCAAGTTGTCCAACTGAATTTCTGTTTATGTTGTTTTGAATTTGTCAGTGGAGAACTTCACTAGTCTCTGACATGATTAAAAGGAGATATGACACAGTGAAATTTCTCTACTTGCCTGCTCTGCTGTAATGCCATTTTCAAAAGCATTATACAAGCTTTCTTTTGTAATGGCTCCAACAATAAGATTTGGAAGCTGATACTCTACACTGCAGCATCACAAAAGTATCTCAGTAACAGAACCACATGAAGAAAAGTAATAATACCTGTGATCAAGACCAATATAGAATAATCTAGGTTCTGCTACAGTGTATAGGTGAATGTATGATTTTTTTTTTCCATTTTCTTTTCTTTCTTTTCTTTTCCTTTATTTTACTTTTGGTGGGATTTTCCTTTATTTATTTATTTTAGACCCTTTACATATGCAGTGTCATGAAATAAATTATCTCAACTATTTAACAACGTCAAGGATATTACACAAACAACTTTTGGGAAAACTGAAGAGCAAGAGTAGCGTCAAAAAGCTATCATAAGGTCTGAGAGGAAGGATTAAGATTAAGAACGTTGGACAAAGGCTTAGGGGAAACTAAACCAGAAGAACATCTACAATTCAAGAGAAAGTCCATACGAAAGGTAAATGTCAATAGTTATGAGATTAAATGTTTCCATGTTTAAGAAACTTCATTAAATAAGAAAGCCCATGATTGATGAATTCTGGTTCTTACACGATACAACCCACTTAATCCTCATGTTTCAGCACACACAATTGCTAACGGCTATAGAAAAAACTAGACAACAGTTAGAAGAACAAATGATGGATAGAAACTAAAACTTGTTTGGTGGCATACCTTGAGAAAAGCCGTAATATTTCACAGTGCAATTTTGAAGTTGTGTAAGCATAAACCCGGAAATTGGTTTCCACCACCATAAAGCCCTGAAAGAGTGAAAAAAATAAAAATAAATAAGGTATGAAATCAGAATTTATTTTTCAAAATCTCCTTGTGTAATCAAATGAAGTGACCAAAACTTCCCTCACAGTACAATACAAATGAGTGAAAATTTGAAATTTCCTTCAGATCAGTAAAATTTTTATGTGAATGAAAGAATTAATACAAGGAAGATGAATAAGCAATCTGCCATAACAAGGCATAAAAAAGAAAACATGACAGTAACAAACTAGCTAACGTAAATAGATCTCCCTAATTCTCCATGTTAAAAGGACTTGCTAAAGGAAACCATGTATTCAAGCACGGCCATTTCAAGAATTTTCTATAAAGCAAATCCATATAATTAAACTAAATGAATTAAAAAGAAGCAACCTGCTTTCTAGATGATGAATCAGCCAAGCTCACTGAAAGATTGGTAGCCAATTTAGTAGGTATAAACCAACTTTCTTTCCTGCCCTATCCGAAACAATGGAAAAGGAAGATGGATTTACAAATAGATACATTGGTTAAAATCAGCATGAAACCCACCATCTACATCAAAATAAGCACAGAAATCTTATAACCTGTTGTAGTTTGACTAATCCAATATCTGCAAGGTCCTTAATCGTGTTCCTCTGGAAATCAGTCAGCGTGTTTATATTATATGCCTAACACATAGGAATCCACCAACAGTGTCAAATTCACTTGGCATTTAAATGTAAATATACTTTAGTAGGACATGAGTATTGAGAAGAAGAAAAAGAGAAGGTCTGATCAACACTGCAGCCAAAAAAGTTAAATGCACAACAGTGCAAGGTCTTATCCCCACACCAATGAGACTGTCTTACCTCTCCTATCACATGAAAACTAAGCTCCAGCAAAAATGAGATCAATTCAGCAGCATCAACACCTCGTGCCTTCATAGAATTGATGATATAGAGCCAATAGGAAACAAATGATATAAGCATCAGAACTATAAAACCAGAGTTCAAGAGCAATTCCTTGCCACCAATAGGAAGGTTTTTGAACCATCAAATTAACTCATTATTCAGTACCTCAGAATTAGAGATATATTCTCTGATGACGTACCAAAGCTGTGCATTTGTATCCATAAGCTGTAATTTACATGGATGACAAATGTCAATATGGAGAACGCATCTCATTAAGTATGAAAGGATTATGAATCATTTGACACATACCAAAAACTGAAATCCACTAGCAGTTAATCTCGGACCTTCTTTGTCTCTATATTGCACACAAAGACATAAAATAATGTTAGCACTACCCCTATAAATTTGCTGTAGTGTTCGAAATGAGAAATATATTGCTAAGTAAACAAAACCTTTGTTTCATAAGATGCCGCTGGAAAACTTTCATTAAAGAAGAGCCGATGTTGGAAGGCCTCTCAGCCTGATTTTGGCTTATAAGTTGCAACAAGAAACACTGATTTATCACAGAATCAAGATGATGAAGAGTTTGGTCTAATGTTAGTAAGATAAAATTAAGGGATAATGAAATTTTTGGTCCCCCAAGTTTGCTTTAGTTATTGATTTAGCCCTTGAAATTTAATCTTTATTAATCAAGTCCCTAAAGTTTCATAAACACACACAATTACACCATATGTGTGTCTAGGATTATATGTCTTCAACTTGAACGTTAAGGAATCAATCACAACTTGCTCACAAGCATCTTCCCTTCACACCCCTTCTTGTAACCCACCCTACATCTCCATCAAACCATAAGAATTAATTGTGCGTGATTATAAAATTTTAGGGGTTCGATTGATCAAAATTGAACTTTAGGGACCAAATCGATAATTGAGGCAAAAATGAGGGACCAAATGTTTCATTATCCTTTAAATCAAATAATCAAAGGCACAAAATTAATTGTATTCCATTATTTAATGACTATGGTCACAAAACAGTAACAAGAATGAATTTTTAAAAAGGTCAAAAAGATTAAACATTGCACCTCCCATTGTTCTAGAGCATAAGCCTCGAGATCTTCTAAGCTTGGGAGCCTCACAGTTATATTAGAAGGCATTGGTTCCCGTGGCAAAGTTCCACTGCCATATTAATCACAATTTCATATTCCCAGCTAAAGCAAATCTTGAATCAACAACATGACTGCAATTGCATACATATATACATATACACGTGTGTACATACGAATTACTTCCTTTCTTTAACATATTCAAGAGTGAAGGAGGGACCATAAACAGTCATTAAATTTCATGGAGACAACCTACCATCTATTTAAGTGAACTTATATAATACATAAAGAAGAATGGTTATATCCCATCACTTAATTTAATTATCCTATATGATATTATACATGTTAAGAGCGGCAAGAACACTAGTTAGGCTAACTCAGCATAGACAAGAAAACAACATAAATTGATGTGCAACTCACCCATTTATTAACAGAATCTGGAGACTTCTCTGAAATGTTGGATTGAGTTTGTAACTCTTTTCACTCTTCCTGCCAATAGCGGGAAGGAATAACCACAGTAAATGTGATTAGGCTAAGCTCCAAATTTATCATACAACATTCCTTAACTATGATGACATTTTAAAGCTTGATGACAGAGATATAAATATTTGAAGAATAATACAGGTGATCAAGAGAAATGGATTATAGACTGACATGAATTCATCTTAATAATGAAAATAAAATAATGAACAGGCGACATTAAGAAGTTATAGTTTTATACTATTCAGAAATAAGAAATCGGTAACTCAAGCAAGCAATTATTGCAGTAAAAAAGAAGAGGCCACGAATAACAAATTACATTCCAATTCCAGAGAGTGTGATCTAAGAAGTAAAACAAACTTCCATGGAACTTGTATTCTTCATCAGGATAAAAGCATAAAACAAACATCAATCCTAATATCACAGAGATCTTTAAATACAATTTTATGTACTTAAAGGATGTTCTTATTAAGGTACTGCATTCAGCCAATTAATCTCCTTGTGTCTCCATGACTATGAAATGCACCACTTTGAATCATGCAGAAACATGGACCTAAATATTCCAGTTCAAATTTGGAGAGTGGATAAATATGTACCTATCAACAGTTTCAATAAAAACCCTCAGTTGAACCAATCTATCTATGGCTACTCTATGTTTTGAAGTTCCATCCGGAAGCACCCACTCCTCCATTGATTTAGCTGTCACCTGAGCATCAATATATAGCATCTGCAAGATATATTTCCTGGCCAGAGGTGGTAGAGACCTGATATTTTAACAGATATCTTGGTAAAGACACGGTTAATAAATCCAAACAAATACCATCCAAGAAGCCTAGTTAATTGTGAGTATGTACAAACAACACAAAGTGAGTCCATAATTGAGGTACCATGAAATTAATGATAATTTGCATTCCAGAAAACAATCTCAAAAATCTAACACAGAATCTTGATAGGGAAAAATAGTAAGGCTTGTTGAATGTAAGTGCAATTTTTAAAAATTAGGATATCATGATTGATATAATATATGCTAGCAGTTACCCACAACATGGGCGATTGAAGTTTCCATTCCACTTAAAAAACTAGATAGAAACTGACCTGAGAATAGCTTCACAGATGAACCCATTTTCATAGAGCTTATCCAGCTTCATGGCTGGCATTGAAGCTACCATGTCCATAAAGTTCTTCGCAATGATCCTAACCTCTGGCATTCTGACACCAATCCCGTATTGTTTTCTTCTTCCTCTGCTTTTATTGGATTTTGATAAACGGTGTTCTCTCACACAGAGCCTAAAAATTCAAGATAAAAATCTGAGATTTCAGTTGGTGCATAATTGCAGAGCACCCACTCGCATGTGCGGACCTATACTACACTTCCCCCACTGAAATCTTTGAAATATGAACATTTGATATAATGCCCTTTCAAGTTTTGTTCCAGATACTTTGACACAACTCTAGCCAAGTCAGTTACAAGATCATATATCACAAATACCTTGAGAATTTCCAAAGTTGATGATAACGCAAAAAGATTAATAAACAGAACGCTAATACAAAACAAATCCAACATTGCAAAACAACAATATCCAAACCATTCAAGTCGCTTGTAATCAAAATGAAGACGGAAGAAGTATAATACCAATTACACACCATTCAAGCAAAAAACTGGTACAAGAAAATAAACTCAATATGTAAATATTCCCAAATTCAAAGGCGTCAATATTCAACGATTACACGACCAGATTCAAAGCCAAATTAAAATGAAAAATTTAAAATAAATCAAGAACAGCCAAGCGGGGAGCAAAATCAAATCTAGATTCAAAACCAGATTGAACAAATCAGTATCACCGGAAAAGCCCTAGGGTGAACCTTCTTCGCTGCTTGCCCGAGAACAACCACGCAGGGCTGATAACGGTGGACGGCGTCCGACGGAGTATGGGATGCTTGTTCGTCGGGGTCCGTCTTGGTAATCATGGTGACGAGCACCATCGGCATGATAAGATCTGAACCGTTCAGATTTTATTTTAATCTGAGCGGTTCAAATTTAAAAAGTTTTAGTTTTAGTTTGTCATCAACAATCTGCACAGATTTAATTCGATAATAAAATTTTTATAATTTTTATAAATTGAACATTTAATTTAAATTTAAATATATTATATATAGTGTAGATTTAAAGTTAAATTTTTTTATAATTTTTTAAAATTTTTATTATAATAAATATAATATTAAAAATAAAGATAATATACCAACTGAAACTTTTAAAAGATTATAAGTTAAAATCTTAAATATAAACTATTCAGAATAAACATGAATAGTGAATTTATAAAATTATAAAAAATTTAATATTAAATTTGAACAATTTAAATTAAATCTACATGAGTGAGTTAGTAATAAACAAATTTATTAATTTTTTTATATTTTTCATTTTAATAAATTAAAATTTAAAATAAAAAAATTAAAAATATAGACTATCAAAATTAAATTATTTGATTAGTTCAAATCTCATCAAGATGATGGGCATTGAGCGTCTGGTGAGCATTAAAGATAATTCCCCTATTCATCATCCATACATAAAATTGCACATACCATCAAGAATTAATTTAAATTTATAATAATCTAAATGACATGTTTTTATTTTATACTATTACTCCAAATTACAATATGTTTGGTTTTTTAAAAAAAAAATTAGTCTAAAATATAGGGTATTAGATAGAGGTGGGAATACATAGGACGCCTACCAGGGCCTATGCTCTAGCATACTTTAGGCCCAACTCAGTTTATTTACTAAATAGGCTTAGATCAGGTTTAAGCTTTTAATTAAATCTTCTTAATTAAATAGATCAAGCCTAGTTTTTCAAAACCTAGTCTATGAGCCCATCATATCGGTCTATTCAGACACACAAGCATATTATGTAATATGTTACATACACCTTGGTTTCATAATTTTATTTTTAATCAATCTATTTTTTTTTTGGGTTATGTTTTCAATTTGATTGGACTTATATATTTATTTTAATGTTATTACTTTATTATTGTATTGTATTGTAGTTGATAAGTCATTTTAATTATTATATATTATAATTGATAAATCATGTTATATGTTTATATTAGTAGTCATAAAATATATTTGAGACATTTAAAATTAAAATGTGAACTTATTTAAAATGTTTATTTTTAGTTATACTTTTAGGCCAAATTAAGCTTTAAGTAAACTCAGGCCTAGGTTTTAAAAAAAGCCTTATAAAGGCTTTGGGCCTTTGACTTATCATATTGGCTCAAGTTTATTTAGTCTAACCGATTTTCACCCCTACTATTGGATATGTGTTAAATATTTTTCAATTACACTCCTACTTTATTAAGTAATTAATGAGGGTGTTTTGAACAAATCAAATGTTATATTGTTCCCTCCCCAAATTATAAGACAATTTGAGAAAAGATTACACATACCAATAAAGATCAATAATAACAATTTATAAACTTACTTTTTCAAAATAAAAATACATACTTTCAAAAATATTCTTCATTTAATATAATTTTAAATATACAATCATTTCAATTATCTCTATTAATAAAACATTATTCTTTAATTGTCTTATGTTTTAAAATAATAAAATTCCTTCGATATTATTTTTATAAGTTAAGGTATAATTTTATTCCTAAACTTTTCCTTGATGAGCAATTTTCCGCCTATACTTATAAATGGGCCAATTTTACCTATAAACTATTTTTTTCAAGAAACAAAAAATCCCCTTCTCCAAAGTACCTAGTGCTCTTCAAAAAAATAATTCAGGAGTAAAATTGCCTTACTTATTAATACAAGGTAAAATTGCTCCTCAAGGAAAAGTTTAGAAGTAAAATTGTACTTTAACCCTTGTTTTATAATTTGAAATGGATTGAGTGTTTATTACATTGAAAGGTGCAATTGAAAATATGCAAAAAATTTTAAAAAATGAACATTTTAACTAATGTTTTTTAAAAACATAAATTAGTTAATAATATCTTATATTATCCAAATAATGTGGTGCACCAAAAAATTCCCTGCAATAATCAGTTTTATCAGGGTTATAATTAATTTTGGGAAGAATTTGGTATAGGTCCAAAATTAATTATTCAAATAGCAAAACTAATTACTCTACATAATAAATAAGAGAATTACAATTAGATCCTACACAAGAAAATTAATTAATGTAAGGTCATTAATGCAATTTAGTTCAGTTATTAATGGACCTTGTAATAATTAATTTTCCTGTGTGAGACTTCAATGTAATTCTCTCTAATAAAATTTCTTGGATATACTATTAAATATACCTTTTTTTCATTTTCATTTTTTCTAATTTTCTCATACTCATTTTTTCAAATAATTAAAAAGTATCTTGACCTTATACTAGAGGAGAGAAATGAAGTTAAAAAAAATGATAACAACATGCATTATCACCTAATTTTATACTAACACAAAATATACATGAATGGAGTTGATGGTGTAAAATTCTTGATATGAACAATTGTGTTGTGAAAAATGTGTTATTGGAGATAAATATTGTTTTGGAAAGTTTTTTTTGTTGCCAGGTGGGTTTAAATTATGTTAGAATGGATTTTGGAATATGTTTGCATACTTGAAAGCATGATTTATAGTTTTTTTGAACATGGATATATGGAAATGTGTTTCAAATTGCATTACTAGTGTTGTAAGGTTAGGAGTATTATATGTTGGACTAAATTACCTCATGATATGCTCTCATTAAGCTTAATGAGTGGCACGTGTAGCTTGAACTAGCTTACCTTAACCTGGTGAGTTAAAGTTATATGCATGGCATAAGGTGGTGATTAGAGCCAGTAATTCAGGCAACTTGGGCTTATTTGAGTTGGACCAACTAGGCTCAAAAATTAAAAAAATTATTTTTTCGAGCTCGACCCTAAATTTTTTAAGCAGGTTCAGGTCAACCTGTCAAGCTTGCCCAAATTACCAGCTTTAATAGTGATAAGGTGGTGTTATCATGCATTATAATTGTGCTTTTGTGATTTAAAATATCTTGTGATGTTTTAGAAATGTGTTCACTTACTCACTTAACAATCTGTATTGTTAATTGCATGTTCATGTATCATGGCATTTTAGTTTGGTTATTGGGACCTTTATGTAAAGTAAGAATGTGACTCTTATTTTGACACAAACTCATGTATGCTAACCATAAGAATGTTTTTTGACTCGCATGGTATTTATTTAGAATGTTTTGGAAATGTGATGATTAGGAGATGACATATTAATGCATTAGGATATAAAGTTATTTTTAGATCATCATTAACTGTGTTGAGTGGTTGTAACCTAACTATGAATAATTGCCCGTGCTTGGGTAAATTATTACTTATATGTGTTATTTTGCATATATATGATGTGGTTAAGTATCTTATACTTTAATTAATGGTTTTCAAAGTGATTTGGAAGTGTTAGTGTTATGGTTTTAATTTTTAAATAGTGTATCCTACGCTTGACATCGACCTACGCTTGACATTGAGTATTTTACTGTGTTCTTCTAAATTATCATGGTAGGCTAATTTTAAGAAGTTGAACTATTTTATTATCATGGTAGAACCTTATCTACCATAGTAATTGACTATTGTATACGCATGTATTGTAAGAAAAATCGTTGTATACCATAGCAAGCTTTCATTAAATGCTTGGATCTTTGTTTACCATGGTAGAAAAAAGACTATCATGGTAAGATTTTGAAATGGTAATTTGTGTTTTTTCTACCATGGTAAGTCCTTTTATTTATCATGATAGTATTTTAAAAACATACATCACTTCTAATTACTATGCTAGACACTTTTTTACCACAGTAAGAATTTTAAATCATTTATATGTTATATTAAAATGTATCTATATGGGATAATTACAATGTATGAATAAGGATGTTTCAATTTGGGACTACTAGATATCCTAGAAGGGTTAGAATAAGGTTTAAAGGGGTTTTTAGGCTGTCTTAGGCCCAAATTATAGGGCTTTAGTGATGTTACCTGTTTTGGGCCATCCGTTACGTAGTTCGCTATGGTGAACATGATGAAACTTTAAAGTCTGATATGCTCTTTGAAAATGCAAAAATAGAGAGTTTTGACAGAGACTTAAGAGAGAGAGAGGCGATGGAGCACTGTTAAGGTTTCATTAAGGAATATATTTGGAGCATTTTAGAGCCTCTAGATCTTCAGGTAAGTCTTAAATGCTCTTTTCCTACCTTTATTAGCGTGTTTTCTATAATTTTTAAGGCTAAGGAGTTACTATCTAAATATGTAGTTAAGCTATAGCCCTTCCTATGACTTAAATGGAGTCCATAGATGCTATTTTATGTTCCTATCATTAGATCTTGGTCGGTACCAACTTTAAATGTCATTAATAAGAGGTTTAAAGTTAACCATAAAGCTAAATAGTTAAATCTAGGCTAATTGGAATAGTTAACTATGTTTCTTAGCCTTAAAGGAAGTTAAATAAACTAATGAATATTAGTTCTAGGACTAATCATGCTTAATGAAGGGTTTAGGCCTTAATCATGATTAAGGGTTAATTAATAATGATTAGTAATTAATGTTATTTTATGGCACTTATGTGTGGACCATAATGTTTCAAAACTTACATTGATGGGAAGCTGCCTAAAAAATTCAAAGTTTCACTTTTAGGGTGATAAACCTAAGAGTCAAGATAATTAAAAATTTAATTATAATATATCTTATATCTACAATAGTACTGTATGCACTATTATTGATGGTGGCTTGAATGGTACATTATGAGTTTATTGATGAATCGGTTGACTTTAAGTTAATGTATGAGTTGTGAAATATGCCTTATTGTGATGAAATGATTGATAATCATGTATGTATAATCTTCATGCAATGTTGTGATTTTGAGTTATGGGCTTAGATTGGCCATGCTTAGTTGATATGAGTTGTTGTTGTTGTTATATGAGCAAAGTTAATCATACAAGTTCTTGAGATTATGAGAATGTTAAATAATTGTGATAT